CTTTATTCCTATTTTTCTAATAATATGTGAGGCAATGTAGAAGAATAGAGCATCTCAATATCTTTTATCATTTTTGTGCAGGTTAAATCACTACACGGACTCGTAGAGTGTACCACAGAGTGTATGCGCTCAACGGATAAACCGACAAGTCATCTCACTTCTGCGGCCATTGACAGTGATTGATTGTGTACATCATATATTCCGTCATGGAGTGTCTGCCGTCTCTCGTTTCAATTCCGCGAGTTTGTCAGCGATTGCTTAGCAACAAGTCGTGTTCTTGTTGCTGTGCTGACGTCACAACCTTTGGAGTCTCCGTGAGTGATGACACTGTTTCTTGATTCATCGGTTAATAACATTCGTGGAGAGTGTTTGGGGTACCTTATTAAGGATTTGCCGAAAGCAGGCCTTTTTTCCTGACCGTATGCGTCAAAGACACCAATTAGATGTCGTCCAGAACATGTGCGGCAGCAGGAGAGTTAGCGACAGCTAATGGCAGGATTGAGAGATGGATGGATTGAGAGAAAGCCGCCCGTGCATCAATTTAGAACATTCTTTCAGTAGTAGAACTTCACTTTGTGGTTATGTGTGTTTAACTATAAGAATACAATTCCTGAAGAGATCAATTATTGGAGAATGATAATTTTTAACTTTAAGGATACAATTCATGAACAAGTGAGATCAACTGTTGGAGAATCATAATTTGTGAGCAAATCAGTGACAGTGGAAAAATTGAATCATATCGGTCTTCATGTAACAATGCATGTTTTGGGGCGAGCATGGGACAAGCCACAGGATTCCCGGCGAATCCTTGATTTACAGCTCTAAGCGAGAAGACAAGCATCCCTGACCTTTTCATATGGGAGTCCCCGCCGGGCAACACCTGTTGACTGTTACTGGCAAATCTTGGACTGTTTCAGTTTATTGCGATAACAGATGCTTTTTACGGTTTTTCGGTGATATAAATCACTAGTGATGTTGAAAAATACACTCAAAAGCTTCTTACTGTTGCGAGTTGTGCTTCTTCTTGTAAAGGTGGGGCCTCTGTTTTGATAAGATTTTCCGTGTAAATAGATTTCATGGCACAAGTGAGAATGCTGTACAACATGTCGCGCAACTAAATTGAATACACACTGAGATGCCCGGAGTATATGGGTCTTGCAGTCGGAAGATTTTCTATTCTGGTGTAGACAGGTCTTACGCCCTTATATTTCTGGTGGTAGATCTCGTTATTGGGTAAATTTCAGATTCGTCACACAATTGCTTCTGGATCACTCAATTTTTTGTCGGGTGTTGGGTGTTGATTTTAGAGAGTATAACGGAATCACGACTCTTTAACCAGCACCATTTTATTTTATTTTTTTCCCTTTGTTTTCAACAACTTAACAACGCCTCAGTTATCTGTCACACACTTGCAAGATTCCCCTTATTCTCAGCAAAGCAAACGAAACTTGAAAAACGAAAAATCGATGTCCCTTCACCTAACGAAACAAATGTCTGTCTTAGTCCCTGACAACCTACTTTATGGTGATGTTCTTTGACTCTGTTGATTTTCCTCTTGACGTTCTCTCTCTTCTTTTACAACAACGCTACCGTATATTAAATAAAATCGCGTTTGCTATAATATCCCCTCCATTTGACCTACTCTAAGTTTATATAAACCCCAAGCAGAGCGAAATGGTAATCACGGTTGTCTGTCATTGTTTCTCTGAGGTCGTTGCTACAGTTACTTGAGCCAGACTGTCAAGTGAGGGGACTTGTGATTATATGCTTTGTTCGGCCAATCAGAATCGCTGCTTGGGCAATCATTACTATTGCCATTATTCGACCAGCCATGCGCGGTACTTCCTTTTGTGGTGACGCCAACAGCCATGCAGTATTCGTTAGTGGCGCAGTTGCCAGCGGTATCGTAAGAAGCGAAAGGGTAGGCACCTCCATGTAAGGGATAAGGCATCAATCCAAACTTATTTTGGTAACAGATCTGTGGAATTCGTTTAAAAGAACTTAAGTACAATCATTAATCTTATTCAAGAGAAACTTGTATCCACGTGAGTGCTCGTTACTTTGTTATTTAACAGTCGAATCGTTTGGAGTTAAAGAGATTCATTGTATTTCATTTTTCCTCGAAGATAACTGACCTCATGACTCGGGAGTATCCCCTTTTTAGCGTGTAACAAACCTATACGAAATCTATTTCATTGTTTATATGTAAGATTCCCAAAATTTTAGCCCAGAGAAAAAATGTTTCATGCGCTCCACAGCTGAGAAATATGTCACCCAAAGAGACGTCACTACCGTTACTGTAACTAACTTCAGTGTAATTGTCAGTGACAGAAACGTGGCAAGAAAGTCTAATTGAAATAGAAACTTGAAAGCTCTAAAAATTACAAAAACGTTAACTGCGCCACTCATAATCATTTACCTTTTTGTTGCCATTCCAAGCATACACCATGACAGGTGTCTTAACAGCCGCCTGAACAGTAGGCTTCCCAACAGAGTGATTCCAAAAGGAAACTTTTTCTCTGTCTCCAGGCAGCCTCCACATCACCCACTTGCTTCCCAAGCCATCCGTCCTCTCACCGCTGGACAACAGAATCGAGGACGCTTCCTCCACCGCCAATCTGCGCGCGTCAATACAGGCATACTCTTTCTGTTTAATGATCTTTGGTGTTTTAAGTGCACCAGCGTTGTAGTTAGAGACCAGCCATGTCTTGTAAATATTGCCAACGTTTCCGCTGATTTTTCCCACGAGAGTCCAGCCACCATTTGCCATGTCACAGTAAGTCTGCACTGATAAACTTCCTTGCAGGTCAGTCTTGATCCAGTAGATGCCATTTTTGGCACGTGGTTTGTTGTTCGCCA